CCACTCACCTACATCCCAGCCTATTTATTATTTATTTATTTAGGTACTCGGGATCAAACTCAGGACCTTGTGCTTGTGAGCCAGGTGTGGGCGCTACTGAGCTAAATCCCCAGCCCCATATTTATTTAATTTTTGAGACAGGATCTCACTAAGTTGCCCAGGCTGACTTGGAACTTTTGATCCTCCTGCCTCAACCCCCCTAGGCAGCTAGGATTGCAGGTGTGTGCCTCTACACCTGTCTCATACAGTATTTCCAGAGCACCTGCTTTTTGACTGTGATATACCATTATATGAGGTCAGGTGTGGAATTTTCCACATGTGGCACCATGTCAGTGCTCAAAAATTTTCAGATTTTGGAGCATTCTGTATTTCAGATTTTTGGATTAGGGATGTTCAACCTGTAATGCCATCGAAATTTATTTCTTAGCACACACAAAGTCTAAAAACTGAAGCACTTTGGGCCAGTAAGGAAATCAAAATTATGGTGGCAAAATATCCCTTTAGAATTTCCAGTCAGATGTGGGGTATGTGAATGGTGGCTTTGTTTCACATGCAGTCTTCAAATGCAGTTTTCTTCAGATGTCCATCTTAGGTGTCTACATTATGGCAATGTCTTTATGACCTGCTCACGACATACACACCTCTCTCTCTCTCTCTCTCTCTCTCTCTCTCTCTCTCTCTCTCTCTCTCATGGGTGTGTGGGTGTGTGTGAGATTTCTGTGGTTTGGTATCAGGGAAAAGCTGACCTCAGTATTTTGGGAGATCTACTGTCCTATTTTCTCCTTTTGTGTAGAACTGGTATTATTTCTTTAAATCTTTGATGAGAGCTTTCTAACCACCAGCTCGCCTTCTTTATTTTATATAGGACTATTACCATGATCTGTTTCCTTTGGAAGAGCTTTGGTGATGTGTGTTTCAAGGAATCTGTTGCATCTAAGTTATCAAATTGGCACAGTTGTTATCATATCCTATACTGTATTTTGTAATATTTGTTAAAATAATAACCGATAGTTGGTTATGAAGCACAGTGGGCCTGGTGGAAGGGGTCAGAAGGAAGCTGCCTCTAGAATGCCGACTTGCATTTGTGAATACATATCTGATACAGCATCCACAAGCTGCTTTAGGGGTGATCTCGTGGGGCAAGGCTTGTCCTGAAAACCTTTTTTTTGTACCGGGGATCGAACTCTGGAAACATTTTTGTGCCCTCTCAAAGAAAAATCCTCCACCCCAGCCTCTGGCGACTGCCTTCCCTGGTCTCCTCTGATGTCCTGACCAGCCTGTCTCCCCTGTCCTCAGGGTCGTCCCAGCTGTCGGACAAAGATCGCAAGGACCTGGAGGGCCAGCTGAAGGCCCGCGAGGAGCTGCTCCTTCCCATCTACCACCAGGTGGCAGTGCAGTTTGCGGAACTGCACGACACACCAGGCCGGATGCTGGAGAAAGGCGCCATCTCTGTAAGGGCACGCAGGGTGTGAAGGGCCCGTCCCAGGGTCACTGGCTCCCAAACACCAAGGAGATTGGGGCTTCAGGGTTTAGAATTGGCCAACTTAAAGATCACTTGGGGAGCTTTTAAAAAACTCAATGCCCGCGTGGCTCACCAGAGTCATATGAATATGAAACCTGAATATGGGGGAGGGGATGGGGGAACTATTTCTTTACATCCCCACGAGATCTCCTGGGGCACAAAGTTTGGGAACCACTAGTCTGATGTGTTTACAACTGCTGGGCCAGTTCCGATCTGGGGAAGGTTTGGGGCCCCTGTTCCCGAAGTCTCCCCCCACCCGATCGGCCCCTGTCCCTGTGCGCCATTGTCACGCCCCTTGTCGCAGTGCTGTCCTTTGGCCCCGCATGACCTGCGCTGTGTCCACGAGGGTGGAGGAGGTGCCAGTTGTGTGTGACTCCGGGCAGGGGACTCTGGGCAGAAGTGGTAGTGGCAGAGTGCAGCCCTGCCTCTTCCTGCTCCTCCCCGCCCCTCCCCGAGCTCGCGCTCCTGGCCTGTGTGACGGGCTGATCACAGAGCCTGGGCTCAGAATGCACTGTCCTGCCTTGGGTCTGGGGCTCAGGCCTGGCTCTTGTGCCCGCAGGATGTACTGGAGTGGAGGACAGCGCGAACCTTCCTGTATTGGCGCCTGCGCCGGCTCCTCCTGGAGGATCGGGTCAAGCAGGAGATCCTCCGGGCCAGCGGCGAGCTGAGCCATGAGCACATGGAGTCCATGCTGCGCCGCTGGTTCGTGGAGTCTGAAGGCGCTGTCAAGGTGGGCCTGGGGCGCGGGGGAGGGGGCTGCCTTGGCCTGTCCTGCAGCAGAGTACCTGTCTGAGCAGCCTGTGCTGCCCCTCCCAGGCCTACCTGTGGGACAATAACCAGGTGGTGGTGCAGTGGCTGGAGCAGCAATGGCAGGAGGGTGACAGCCCCCGCTCGGCCATTTGGGAGAATATCAAATACCTGAAGCGAGATGCTGTCCTCAAGACCATCCGCAGGTAAGTGTCCTGCCCTGTCCCGACTCACTGGCAAGTACCCAGCCTGGACTGGTCTCTAGCTGTGGCACCCCAGAGTGGCCCTTTGAGTCCATACCGGTTATGGTGCCCTGGCCCAGCCCTCAGGGATGAGAGTGCACCCCCACACCATCCCACCCCAGCCCACCACCCCTGCCCCATCTCCCGCACAGTGGCCAGGGTGAGGCACAGAGCCCTGGGGCAGCACAGGGAGGTGGGAGATCTTCAGCTCAGGGTCTTTGCAGGATTTTATGTGGTGACATGTTTCAGCTCAGTTGGAGCCTGCATGGTTAGAGAACCCACATCCCACCCCCTGGGCAACCTTTCCAGAGAGACACCTCCCCCTTGTCGTGGGGGATGTGGGACCTGACTGGGCCATGAAGCTGAAGTTTAGATAACTCAGGGCACAACACGTAGACAGTGATGGCAAGGACAGTGCTACTGAGAAGCATTCTGACCCCCCAGAAGTAGCTCATCCTGCCTCATGGGATTGTCATGGCTTTGGTGACCACAGCAGGAAAGGAATCAGCTCAGGGTTCTAGCCCAGGAAGAGGACAAGGACTCTGCCACCTTGTGGCCACCAGGCCGAGTGGCAGGAATAACTCCAGCATTCTCTTCCTCCCCACAGTCTGGTCCAGGAAAACCCAGAGGTGGCCATGGACTCCATGGTGTACCTGAGTCAGCTCATCAGCCCAGGGGAGCGGCTCCAGGTGGCTCAGCTGCTGTCCACCATGGACAGCCCGGCCTCTACCTGAGCTGGATCCAGCCATTCCCAGGGCCATGGGCAAGAGAAGCCGCACAACTTGCTGACCCACCGCAGGCCCCCACCTGGATCTTGGAACTTGCTTACAACAACAACAACAAAACACTAGTCCTGGGCACTGCTGTGGGCAGAGCTACTGGTCCCCAGCCAACTCCTCTGTCAATAAAAGGCTCAGGGTGCCCCTCCCAAGCAGGAATCACCTCCCTGCCACTCTGGGAAGTTCATTTTTTCTCTTCAGACAGTGCTTTTGCTGCACCACTGAATCAAATTGAACTAAACCATCCAGATTTCCTTGTGCCTAGAGTGTAGAGTCCAGGTAGTTGTTAGCTGATTTTATATCACATCTTAGAATCTTTTATTTTTATTTTTTACTCCAAGGCCAGCACTTGATATAAGCATGTTGTCTACTTCAGCAGAATAAACAGGGAAAAAAAATAGCTCAGACTAGAGCAAACCTATTTTTGTATGAGGCTAACTTGAATACTACATAATCACCCAGGAAAGAGTACAAATTGTTTTTAGGAGAATAAACTGGTAGTTTGTGCCCAAAATGATCCTTGCGAATCAGGAGGAATGTCCCATTGTTGGCCTGTGCCTGTCACTCACTAACAAATTCTCCCTTTTGGAGAGAGAGGAAGCAAAATGAAGAGATGCCACAGAGCAAGGGCATATGCAGGTGCCTCTCATGTGGCTCCCAGTACTTGGCTCACCCCTGCCCTCCAAGGAGAGCAAGGATCCCTCTCCGCACCATTGGGCAGCATGTGCTGCCTGCGTGAGCTGTGGGTGCAGAGGCAGAGAGGAAGCCTTCCCAGACTTGTGGCCCAGCAGTGGACACCGCCATCCCCTCGGAGGGCCTCCTGAGTCACTCACTTCCTCACATATCACCTTGGTGGGAGCCAGCATCAAGGGGTGGTACTGTGGTGACCAGGGCTAGACCGCGAAGGCCACACCCATGTGCTCAGGGAGGACTTTGGCCTATGCCCCTAGCACTTGGTGATATGCAGCATCCTGGGTCTCGGATGCCCAGGTCCCTCCCATCTGGGTCAGTGATGGGGGTCGGGGGAGTTGGCACAACCCACTGCTGTGGTGGGCAGTTTGAGGACACTGAACGAGGGGACACCGACAAGGCTGCCCAGGGAAGCCTCCACCAGCTAGAATGCTTGAGGATGTCCAAGTTCAAAACTGAAAACATTCTGGCCATCCGCCAGTGACAACTCTGGCAAACAACAGTGGGGAGAGAGAAAGCTGACTTTTCCCATGTCCCACCCAGAGGCTCAGGTGGCTGGAGACTAATGCTGCTTCAGGAGTGGAAGGGTTCCTTTCGGTAAGACCCTCTTGCCTTTGGAGGAAAAACAAGGCAATAGCGGCTCCCCTGGAATGGTGGGCAGTAAGCCTGCCTGGAAACGTGCAGAATAAACTATTTTTGAAGGAAGCACTTTGGCTTTAATTCATTGTGTGGACCATACAGTACTGGAGCGGAGACCTTGAAGTTCCCATCCCAGGAGCGGCTGGGGTGCAGTGGAGGGAAGCTGAGGGCTGGGTTGTAGTGCTCATTCCTAGGCATTGGAAGGCTTTGTTTAAAAAATAAAAATTACGTGGAGCCCCATCCATATACCTGGCAAAAAGGAAGCTGCCCTGGAAGAAGGGTGGGTGGGTGGGGCCAGGCACTTTTCATAGCAGTTTCATGCCTTCCCACCGCCCTCAGCCACCTTTCTTTGACAAGGACAGCAAAGCTTGGAGAGGTGAAGATGCTTATCCATAGTCACACAGCTACAGGACCAGGAGGGGAATTCAATCTGTTTGACTTCAGAGCCTGGCCCATTCCTTTTATGACTTAGGTTCTGAGCCTCCAAAGCACACAAGGGAGCCTTATACTTTCAAAAGCTCAGTGGGCTTCTCTGCACCGTGAGTGGGAGCCACTTGCCCTGGCTGGCTTCTTCCCAACTTCTAGCCCTTTCTCACCCACTCTTCATCTTTTTGCTCTTCTTCAGTCCCCAGATTCTCTTAGCTTTTCTCCTCCGTGTCCTTTTTTATCCTAACGTGTTTTTTTGAGACATTTCAAACGCTAACAAGTTGAGGTATTGGACAGCAAACGCTAACCCTCAGCCACCAGCTCGATGTCATCTTTCTGTGCCTGGACTTAGTGTCCCACCTACCTGCCTGTCTCTTCATCTCTCCCTGTGGCTGTAAGTTTATCTCATTATTTTGTCACATTTCACAGCAACTTGCAGGTGTAGATCCACTTCTCCAGGGTTTTTTGTTTGTTTGGCGTTTTTTTGTATTTTAAAACAAAAGTTTTAAAAAATATTGTCCTGGGGTCTCCATGTTATTGTTCCCCTCCTCTTCTCACATCAGCCACATCCCAGACCTGAGTGATGCCACCTATCTGTCCCCTTACGCACTCAAAGTGGTGGGTCTGTGGAGGGGCAGGACCTGTTGCACCATCTGCAGTTGAAATTGCCCCTAGTGTCCCCTCTTCACCTTATGGGCCTCCAACCTCCCGGGGTACGGTGGTTCAAGCCCCATTCCTGTTCAGTAACCTGCTGTAACTCCCATTGCTCTTGTTGCTCTGCTCAGCACTGGGAAGGTGTGGAGGTAACGCCCTACTAACAGGTTTCTCAAGATGAGGACCCTGCAAAGCCACTGGGTGGTTGTAAAAACTCTTGTTCTTGGGCACCAACATGGAGCGGAATCTTTAGCAATGGGTGAGTCTGACAGGCAGTACCTGTGGGGGTTAAGACTTGGGTGCTGGGTTCTAATGCTGTTTTTCTCTGAGCCACTGGCTTAACCTCTCTGAGCTTCGGTTTTTCATCTGTAAAATGAGGGAAATAATTATTCCTATCTCATAGGCTCCTCTGAGAACTAAGTGTTAATCAGCCAGAAGATGTGTGTTGAGTTCTTTTCATATTCAGGGTGCTCTGTTTTTCATGCATTCCTCTGATTACAAAGCTCTTTCTCACCTTTGTATCTGAATCAAACCAGAGATTAGCAGAGAGTATTTATTTGCATGTAGAATTTGCACATGAATCCAAATTACCATTGAAATGTCTATTCTCTGGCTTAAAAGTTTGATGGACAATTATTATAAATAAAATATAAGTTGTTTAAAGGAAATGGGACACTTACTGGGCTTTGCAGTGTCAGATTGAGGACGTGATTCCCTGGAAAAGTCTGAGGGACCCTGTTGCCTTGGGGACCTGTAAGAAGAAGGTATGGCAAGGCTGGAACATGAGAGTAGTCACACCTGGGGGACAGGAACTGAGAAGGGGCCAGGTCATCACCAGACCTTAATGCTGGCACCTGGGGCCTGTGGCCTGAACAAAGGAATGGCATACCAGATTGGAATCCTGGAAGTGGCATTCCAGCTGCAATGTGAGGAATTGGTTGGAGAGGCCAGGTGAGTGTCAGGGACACCAATTAGGTGGTGGCATCACACACGAGTATGAGCAACATGGTGCCCTAGATGATGCCAGCAGTGGAGATGGAGAAGGAAAGGACATCGTGTGGGATTCACTTCAGCAAGCTTGGTGATTGACACGTGCAGTTTTTTGGATATGGTTTGAATTTGTCCCCAAGTATCATGGCACCAGTGTGGTGATGTTAAGAGGTGGGGCCTAGAAGGAAGTCCTTAGCAAAGGACTGTGGGACTCCAGACTCTATGGCTTCCTGTCTCAAGATAGGATCTCTTGCTCCCACATGCACTCCCACCGTGATGTGATCTGCCATGTGACCCAGTCAACAAGATTCTCACCAGAGCTGAGCTAGATGCCTGCACCAGCCCTTAAGCCTCCAAAACTGTGAGTAAAATAACCTCTTGACTTCATAAGTAGCCTGCCTTGGGTATCTCACCATAGCAACAAGAAACAGACTAATATAATAAGCCTGTGCAGAAAGGGCTTCTATGATGTTGCTGTTTCCAACTTAAGGAAAGGAGGAAATGGTGATGAAGAGATGAAATTGTAGAAGAGAAACAACATGGTTACAAGGGCAGCCAGAAATTTCAGGATGGTTCCAGAGGAACTTTCAGCTGAAGAGAACAGGAAGTCTCATGTCAGGAGAGCACAACCAAGACAGAACTGTCCCAAATCAGCTGCTTCAGGCAGTATTCCCTACAAAACTCCTCTCACAGACACTTCCTACTACATCCTCTCAGGGGACATTGTGACCCAGCTGTCAATGAGTCATATCACCACTCCCATTTTAAACCTAATGAGGCTCTTTCTCTACAAGCTACTATGGTTACTTTGGCTGTTCCTACATCTAAAAGGGATTAAATCGATTTGGTTGGACATTTTACTAAGTTGAAGAGGTATTTCATAACCAATCAAATTGATAAACATGTGCTGTGTGTTTGGAGGCTTGTTAAGTCCATATTCACTGTCCCCCCTTAATGGAGGCCCTGATCAAGTCACGAAAGACTCCAGCCACTCTTCCCTTCAATCCATCCAGCACATACATGGCCAATTAACTAAAGCTCAGAGGATCATTGTCAGGTCTCAGCACTCTGAAGAATGTAAAGCACATAGCATAGTTCTTGGTACAGCGGAAGAGTTCACATTTTCCCACAGTCAGCTCAATTCTCCTTACTATCATCATTGTTATTATTAATGTGGTATGAATCCGGTCCTAGTATCCTCCCACTCAAAAGCTCTCCGTGGCTCCCCATTGTCCATAGGATAAAACCTACACTCGTTAGCCTGACCTTCTCTGCATTACATCATCATAACCAACCAGGTTTAACTACTCACATGTCCTACATTTACAGCATTTTGGCAAATGTTAGGGGAGGGGATTAGATATGAATTTGACTTTCACTGGTCTCATGAAACTCATGCTTTCTAGTCAGAGTCCAGTAAGAGCTCAGTCTTAGACAGATAACCAACTGAAGATTTGATTCCTGATCCAGGATGGTCCCTGATGAACAGGAAAGATTTGGAAAATCACCTTGGCCAGGAAGAGGAAATTGAGGCTCAGGAAGATTAAGTAACTTGCCTTAAATTATTCACTGAATAGATGTCAGTGTTAGTCTAAACCCAGATATTAGGGGCAGGGATTCTGGGAATCAAACTTAGAGCCTCGCACATGCCAGAAAAGTGCTCAGCCACTGATGGGATGTCTCTTTTTTCCCCAGAGGCTTTTGGTGGCATACCCCAACAAACATTATTAAATAAATTATTATAATGTATTTAAGTTGCCTATAATTAAAAGGTTAAATTTTCTATGTCTAAAGCAAGGTTTTCTTAAGATATTAAGATGCTCTTGACTAAACTTACAAAACTAGATTAAAAATCAAAGTTTCCATATTTTACTAAGATAGTTTCCTACGTTTTACATTGTTAGGCTTTTGGTTACTAAAAACTGAGCTTTTAATAGTTAAAGACTATTTAAGCAGCGGCTTGTAAAATTTTCAATAATCAGTTTATGATTAGTTAAATGAACAACTATTACCTTAGCTTAAGACACAATCTATAAACCTGAGACTAGAGATAGATCTAAAGTCAAGCTATGCTATGAGTCTAGGCTTTAAAGTTAAGGTCATAGAATTAAGGCTACATAAGTTTAGTACACACAAACTAACTAACAGGTGCTCTCTTTTATACAGTATACATTTAGAACTTAGACTTACAAAATGATCAAAAGTTGGCATCTCTTTAGATTTGGTCTTACCACTTAAAACTTGATCTGCATTTATTGCCTTTGGTTAAACAAGCATTTTGTTCTTGTATAAACAAGATACACTTGTATATTTGGTAATAAGTCTATGCATGGCCATTAGCATTGTTTCCTAAATTTGTAAGAGCCCTAAAGAGGACCTTAATTTTTGTCAGTACAATTACACCCTGTAAAACCTGTTAAAGGAGTCTAAATTTTGCCATAAGAGTAAAAGCAGTAAATATACACAAAGATTTCTTTTCAGCTGTCATGCTAATTATTGCTAACCTCATGATATATTAAATGTATTTGTGTTTCTCAAGTGCAGGCCTTCAAAGACATAAAATTGATAAAATATCTTATCATGCTAGTAATTTCCAGGCTAAAGTTGTTTATAATGGTAAACTTTTTCAGGCTCAAGCATCTGACTTTCCTGATGGAGACCACCCTAAGCAAGCTACAAAGTCATAAATTGGCTTTCAAAAGTCTGAGTCTGCCTATTAGTGTACAATGGCTTGCCTGAAGAGCCAGCAGGTGGTGTGTGGAAAAGGAAAAACTGCCCACACTACTGGTTACAGAAGAGGTCTCAATGATCCATGACACTGTGATGTCTTGGATGGGAAGACAATAGTGCAGCTAAGGGCGGCATGACTCATACAGAAAACTGCTATAGGGGCAAAAATTAATCCATGTGAAGAAACAAATTTCCTATTAATCAATGATCTGTTCTTGCTAGAATGTTTCGTTCCCTTATTGCTAGGACCCCGCTCGCATCTGTGCTCTCCACTCCACTATTCCCTGCACTGCCTCTTCCTTTCTAGAAGCTGTGTGTTCAATAAATAGTGGCAAGCTCCAGGGGACAGTGTCTTATCCAGATAAGAGCTTTGACCATTCTGGGCCCCTCATTTATACATTAAGATCTTGTCTTGTCTTTTTCTTTAATCCATTTGCCATACCCTTGGTCAGGTGACTGGGGGTTTGTGCAGCTTCCAATACTTTCCCTCATTTGTGTTCCAACTACTTGTGCTGAAATATGTATGCCAATCCAACATGAGACAGTGAATACTTTTTCAAGGCTTATGATTGTGTGATTGTTTTATGTAATTCTGTTATAACGGAGCTACATAAACAATCTACAGTCTAGTCAATGTCACTCTAAAGATTAAAAAGTAGACATTTATAAAGTACACATATAAACAAGTACATTTTACTTATATGGCACTCTCTTTTTCTTTCTTTTTCTCTTTTGGTACTGAGGATTGAACTTGCCAGACAGGCATTGTGCCACTGAGCTACATCCCCAGCCCTTATGGCCCTCTATTAAAAGGTTAAAAATTTAGATAAAAGTTTATGTTATTTAATTCTTGTAATTAGATAAAGATAACTGACTAAAAAGTTACTTTATACTAAAATATAAATTTGAATGTACTTCAGAAATAATAATAAAACCTAATATTTCTAATATAATAATGTCATCATTGTCATGCTAAAATGCTATGTTGCCCTTGATCTCAATTTTTTTCTTTTGTACCAGGTATCGAACTCAGGACCTTGCACTTGCGAGACAAGCACAGTGCCACTGAGTTAAATCCCTGGCCCTTGATCTCAAATTTTACCTGTAAAACTTTATAATTATTATATGTTGACATTCTATAGGAATTTAACATCGAAGACAACTATGATTGATAAAATAAATAACAGTGCTCTGGTCATACTTTATTTCAAGGTGCTTTACATCCACATAAGATTATGATAGTTAAAGCTACTGCTCCCACTTCAATACTGGTATAACTGGTCTTCTGGTTATTCAACACTCCTCAGCAGGTTGCCTCTACTCCCTTATGCTTCATATCAGTTCCACCTTTAATTGGCATGACCTGTTTGACCCCAAGGAAAATGTTTACAGTGTTAACAAGGGAAATTGTCAAGAGAGCAGAACTTTCAGGGGATTTTTTTTTTTTGGTACCAGGGATCTAACTCAGGTTTTTGCGCTTGTGTAGCAGGCAGCAAAACCACTGAGCTAAATCCCTGGCCCTCAAAATCAATACCTTTTTTTTTTTGGTACTGAGGATAGAACTTGGGTCCTTGTGCTTGCGAAGCAGGTGGTGAAACCACTGAGCTAAATCCCCGGCACTTTCAGGGGATTTTAATATAGGGTAGGCATCAATTGGGATGTGAAAGACATTTTCTTTTTTTGGTACTGGTGTTTGAACTTTGGGGCTTCTGCATGCTAGGCAAGTGCTCTGCCACTGAGCTATATCTTCAGTCCTGAAGAATATGCTGCCATTGTGTGATTTCTGCTCCCCACTGGCTATTGTTCCAGAAATCTCGGAAAGAAATACACAGAGACACAGAATTTGGGTAAAATAATAAAAGTTCTACTTGGAAGCAGGTGGGACCGCCAGAAATCAGCCTGGTTAGTATCCACGCACCCCTTTGTCCAGTGTTTCCTTTTCATATCCTTTTTAGCCATTATCTCATCCCTAGTGGTCTTTGATGTTTACATACAATTTCAGTTCCTATTTACAAGTCACAGACAAAAGGTAAGCACATATACATTGTAAATTCACCCAGGCATAGTAACTTTGTTAGGTTAATGAAGTTATTGGTTAAAGAGTCAGATAACCATCACCTTAAAGTCACCTTAAACAACAAGAGTAATGGGAAAAGCAAATCTTAAAGGAACACATTACTTATTTTGCTTCTACAGCTACCTTAATATTCACTCTACTAAGTTACCTAAAACTTTTCCCTATCACTACCATGCAGAATTTAATACAGGGGACTTCTGCTTTCTGATGATGATTTTCAAGTGCCTAAAAACAAGGTTTTTTCTGTTTCCAAAGGGATGGCATCTGTGCTTCAAGTGCTAATAACTTAACCAAAAGAAGAAGCAGTGAAAGTGATGGAGAAGAGATGAGCTGCCCTTGTTCAAATCCCACCTCCACCACTTACTAGGTTTGATGTTACTCAACCTCTCTCCATATCTATAAGATAAAGATAATATGTCCACCTGTTAGGATTTTTGAGATTGCTAAATTAGAATATATATGTGTATGTTTGTATACACACTTGTTACATATACAAATACATGTATACACATGTCTCATTTAGCATGGTCCTGGACATACAGCAAGCTCACTGATCATTATCAGTTATTCAAATTTTGCTTGTGGCTCAGTGTCCTGGATTCAGCCTTGGGAAACTGACCTAAGTGTCATAAAGATCTTGACTTCAGAAAAATTACTTAAGCTGTCCAAGGTCACACAGCTAGGAAGGTTTTCTGCTTGGCCAAGGTGAGGCTGGGTCCCAACTGTGATGGACTTTCGAGTCCCTCCATACTCAGAATTCACATCTCCCAGCACCAGGCCTGGTTGCTAGGATCAGAGTCACTTGTGTCCAGAGCCATTGAACCACAGGTCAGGAGCCTCACTGGAACCAAGCAGATCACCTCTGCACCACTGCTCCCTGTCCTGTGGGGCTTTGCTCTCTGGCTGCTGCTCTTGGCAGGGATCATGGGTTTCACAGCATCTGTAGGACATATTAGGGTTGGTGCATCGGAGGAGGTGGGAAAGGTCAGAATTGTCAGGCCTTTGAACGCACACTGCAGGGGCTCCCCTGGGTGCAGCCATGCCCTTTGCACACTCCCAGTGAGAGAGGAGCGAAGATGATCTAACACTGGGTCCCAGATAAGGCAGCCTGGGGTCCTCTGCTATCCAGATTCCAGCTGTGCGAGAAGCATCTTTGCCACACAGCCCTGGCTTCTCTGGATGACCTGATTCCAGCCTCGTAGCCTGGGACTCGGATGTGAGTTCAAGTTCATCCACATTCCCAAGGAAGTCAAACAAACATGAGCTTTTATCTGATCCCCCTCCTAACAGTGTGACCTCGACCAACTCTCTTAACTTCCCGAGCTTCAATTTTCTCCCCTTTAAATGAGATAATAACGGCACCTACCCTAGGGGTGGTATAGGGTAAATGCTGGGCTACAGAAAAGCACGTAAAACACACAGTGAGCACCTGCTAAGACGGTTAGCACCCTTTCCAGCGCCGCCCTCGAAGGCGGTTAGAACGCGCGCAGCCCCAAGTGCAGCCGGGCTGCGGAGGGGCGGGAGCGGCGCAGAGCGCAGGTCAGCTCACGTCACTGCCCGCACAGGACGTCGCC